AAAAAAAAAATCTTATTGTTTAAAAAGACAGGTGCAGGCAGAGAAGAAATAATACAAGACTGAGTTGCAAGTCAGAGCTTCATGAATGTCTTTTCCTTTTGTATGTGCTTGTGCTTGGTTGCGAATTTTTCGCGCTGTAGAGGAGTATGCAACACCAGCTTGCCCGAGCCTCCATATTTTTAATACTGCCAGTAGAAACTTTCACTTTGAAAATATGATGAGGACCGAATTTCAAAATTCAATGTCGCCAAACAATTTTTTGCGGACGTAAGGTTTCGGTTACGAGGTCAGTCATAGCTACTGGTGTGTTTAACCAATTTTGAGGCAAATTTGTGACCTTGAAAAAAATTACAGGTATACTGTTACATTCTCTTTAGCCTCCTGAAGATGTAAATCACTGGATTGAACCCCTACCATATTGTTTTGTCTCATAACTGATGCAGGTATCTTCTTTTTTTCTTCAACTCAGTTTGACGTAGGAGCTGCCAAGGCGTCCTGTGCCTTTCACGTGAACAGTGGCCAGCACTGGAAGAAGCAATCTTTGGACTGCTGTAATCCATTCTTTGGGCAAGTGAATAAATTTCTTTGAAGCAGAGACCTGGTGTTTGCACAGCAGCTCCACAGAACAAACAACACAAACACAAATGTTTCTTTGCCCAAAGCCTTCGTAGCTGCTTGAGCTTATTGATCTGAGCTTGCACGTTGCAATGTTAAGGCAAGATGCAGATATAGTTAACGTCTCTCTAAAAAAATTGGGGGCACCTTATGCTTGGATGTCTAGCTTGATCAACTTGGAACGTCCAGCCGAATTGAAGCAAGGATCTAGCCGAACTGAAGCATGCAGCCGAATTGAAACTTGTAGCCGAACTGAAGATTTAGCCAAACTGAAGCGTCCAGCCGAATTGAAACTTCTAGCCGAATTGAGGATGTAGCCGAACTGGAACGTCCAGCCGAATTGAAACTTCTAGCCGAATTGAGGCAATAGCCGAATTGAGGCGTCAGCCGGATTGGGACGACACCCGTGCCTCGGCGAACCTTGCGCTACTTCTGAAACATGAAGGGGTTTTAACACAGATAACACCGGAGCGCCGACCGATTTAAAGCTCCTCGATGTGTTTGCGTTTGTCTTGCAAGTAGCGTCAAATGCGCCAGTGCACGAGGCCTTTGTCTCGAGCGGCCCTTGGAGGCGAATGGCGGCGGAGCACCAGCTCGTGCTACGCCACCTTTCGCTTCCGAGGGCCGCTCATTTTTGCAAGAATGGTTGGCGGCACTTTAAAAAACGCCTTTATCATGGGGCTTTAGACCGATTTGCATCGCCTCGCTCCCTGGCGGCGCGCCCTGCCTGCTGCCGAGAACTACGCACGCGTCTTTTTAATGCGATAGCATTCTTCAGCTATACCACCCTCCCCCCCCCCCCCCTCCTCGGATTTCTTCCTCCTAATGCACTGTAGGTATGCGCAGTACACCATTTCAGCTCACATTCTCAAACTCCTTCACATTGAAACCCTCTACGAAGGACCAGACGACCTTGACGTCGCCCTCAACGTCGTCCTAGATGTCCTTGACGGCGTCCTAAACGTCGTGTCATCTTTGTCGTCGTCCTCGACGTCGTCTTTGAGGTCGTCCTAGATTTCGTCCTCGAGATCGTCCTAGAGGTCGTCCTAGAGGTCGTCTCTGATGTCGTCTTCAAATACGTCGTCCTCAACGTCGTCTTGGACGTCGTCCTTGAGCTTGTCCTAGACGAGTGCTATCGCAATTCATAGAGAACCAACAAAATTACAGGGGCCACTTAAAAGAAGAAGAAAATTTTTTTTATGTTTAGTTGTGACACGCGTGTCAAAAAAGTTGGCGAATTGTGGAGGCTGCGGCCCCCGCGACCCAATAAGAGCGCCGGAACAAGGCACGTGATAACACTCCAAGGTCGAGGCCAGAGAGGCCTCGTTGCCGCCACAGCAACAGCGCCGTCCGCGACAAAAAGTGGTTCTAGGATTCGCTTTCTTTTAACAGCAATTAAACTCATGAGCTTCAATCTCTAACGAGAAGATATGAAGAATAAATAATCACAAATTTATTAGTTTCAATTATATTTAAACAAAAAAAGTAACGTCATATCCGTATCCACTCTCGATTTTTTTTTTCTTTCTTTTTGTTGGGATTGCCGGCGATCGCAGCCGTGTAATCGGCCGTTTCCGCTCAAAATATCACACTGTGCCCTGGCATTAGGGAGTTTACGTAGACCGGGTTTCCCCCTCCGCTAAGCCCTCCGCAACAAAGCCACGTTTTTTGCCGTCCCGCAACGCCCTCCGCAACCCGCTACGATACCCCGAACTCTACAGTCAAGGCTATCGGCGCACAGGCGCAGTAGCAACTTCTTCGTTGCGGGGGGCTTAGCAGTGGGGGAAACGCAGTCTACAAAAACTTCCTACTACTACGCCTCTGCGTTGATGACCTCGACTGAAAACGAACTGCGAAAAAAACACCCGTCAATATTAGCGGCTAAATTGAGCTTATGGTTGTCTCCTGAACTGTTCCCGAAATTCTAGCGGACGGAAATTGTTGCTGCGGTGGACGTTCATCCAAAGTTGGTTGGTGAATAAAGAAAAAAATATCCGAAGCGGGTTGGTTTCGGAGCATTAAGATTCTTGGCTAGCAGACGACAGCCGGTTCCTTCGGGACTCGCGCCTCGCATTTGGCGTAGTCACACAACCGAAGGGTCGTGGGCTCGAATCCCGCCAGAAATTCTTCAATTTTCTTCTTTAAGGCAAATAAATTTATTTGTAAAGTGAAACCATTTTAGGCATGCGGCGTCCTTTAATTCGCATTAGATCACGTTTTAATCACTTTCATTCCGCGCCTGACGTCACGTTTCACATGAGCGTTGTGGCATAGGTTGTGGGTTGTTTGAAATTTCCGTGCGAGGTCATGCGGCTGTGACGTCATGACCCTATCGACCAATCGAGATTTTTCCGCCCCACCGACGCCGACTTTTCTGCGACACGACGCTTTCGCGTTAGTAGTGGTTTCTGCAGTAAGTTCTTATCTGCTGGCTTGCTCGCTTCAACGCGACGTGCTCCTGTCTGATTGAAACAGCGATAGACGCTAGCTGCGATTCCATAACCACTACGGCAGCCGTGGTTCCACAATCTTCGCTCATCGCACTGGACACCGGCAGTTTACGGAACTTGTAAGCGCAACTCGGCGAAGCGTTAACCTTGCCCTCCCCTCATTTCTCGTGCCACCCACATGTAGTTCTGCGGAAATGTATGCAGCACAGTGTGCCTATACATTAACCTTTTTTACAGCGGAGCTGCTAAGGGAGTTCACCCCAGTTTCGTGTCCGTCACCAAACATATGTAGACACAACACTCTGGACAGCTACCACAATCTATGAGCGACGGCGGCAACCGGACAACTGGCTTGCCGCTTGTCTGGTTGCCGCCATCGCTCATATGGCGTCAACAATTCCAGCCTTTCCACTCTGGTTTTCACCAGAGTGGAAAGGATGAATTTCTCTAGGCGTCGTCCTAGAAGTCGTCCTCGAGGACGACGCCTAGAAAACGACTTCCTTTAGGCGGCGTCCTCGAGGTCGTCCTTGAGGTCGTCCGAGAAGTTATCCTAGAGGTCGTCCTAGACGCCGTCCTCGAGGTCATCCTAGTCGTTGTCCTCGTGGTCGTCCTAAAAGTCGTCCTCGAGGTCGTCCTAGACGCTGTCCTTGAGGTCATCCTAGTTGTCGTCCTCGAGGTCGTCCTTGAGGTCGTCCTAGAAGTCGTCCCCAAAGTCGTCCTAGGCGTCATCCTAACCGTCGTCCCTGAGGTCGTCCCACCATAGTACAGCTTCACTGGTGTTCATTCTTCACCAAAGCGGAAAGGCTGAAAGCTTTTTTTTTTTTTTTTCTTAGTTTTAGTTTTGTCTCCCCCGTTCTCGGGGTTTACTATCATGTGCGATATACCGTAAAATATCGGGCAAACGCCCACACAAAATTTAGAGATAATCGCGAAGAAATGGGGAATGGGCGCTTGTCCGGTCATCAATTTTCCATATATATGTACTGTGTATATTTTCTCAATCTTAGAAATTTGGATAAAGGCGCTTAATTTGGAATGGGCGGATACACGGTATTTTACGGTATACCTAACTCACCTGCACTCCATCTTTTTTTTTTTTTCTGTTTTGTGTCTGCATTTGTGTTTGGTTCTGATGCTTGTTGCAGGTTACGGCCTTGAGAAATGAAGATTAAGATACCAGGGGCCCTAAACTCGTGAAACACGAAGTTGGAGCCGAAAGTTTGCAGAGCGCGCCAATTGGACGAAGCGCAAAGTCATCGTCGTGATAGGCCAATCGGTGTACTCCGTCAACTTCGGCCCCAACTTTGTGTTTCACGAGTTGAGAGATCCTGGAGGTGGGACTTAACTTTTTTTCCTTAGTGACGAGTGTGTTGTAGAGGAAGCAGTATGTTTCCGTTTGTGGCTATGAAATTGTATAGACGCTTTGCAGCAGCTGTGCATGGGCGCCGCCATAACCGCCCTTCAGTTCTTGTTTCCTCTTATTACATTTACCTCGCTTCATCGTTACCACAGCGGGGAAGGTTATTGCCATTTTAGATTCTACTGTGCCCTTCTCCACAGCATTAGCCTTCTTGGGGGCTTGTCAATGCCCGCTTTAGTGGCTCGGCATCTGGGAGACAAGAGAAGGTCAGCAATGGCGGCTGTAATTTGGCACGTGTGTAAAGCGCCTATAGAAAGTATACAAGATTGAAAGTATACAAGATTGATTGCATGTTTAATGGCAGAGAATGGGTATATAAGGCATGGTCGAAATAAACCTTGTGGCCGAATATTTACTTATTTCCATGCCTCAGGGTTTACCATCATATGGTAGTAGGAAACACAAAAGACCACTCAATTGTGCATTTACACTGCGCACAGTGCAGCATTTTATCAATTTTTGTTTTTAGACAGAGGAAATCATGGTTAGTACCTTAGTAAGATTGCATCTCCAAATTGGCAAAATCATTCACTTTATTTGTATTATTCATTTTATTCATGTCACACACCAAAGGCATACACTATATACATTTAACTTACGAGCAACGGAATGTTTAGAGCCCTATTCAGCTTTCTCTAAACACTATGCCAGCGCACAAACTGCAAGACTTAGTTCTGTAAACTGGATTTCTTAGTTGTGGGCTAAACTATAGTTGTAGAATGACTATACTGCAATGTTGCAGGTGCTTTGCAGATCAGATATATAGACTATATACACGATTGACTTCATACCTTTTACCATACTTCCATTATTTTTATTTTATAAGCTTTCATAGAATTATTTACAAGAAGAATCTATTTAACCTTTTAAAACTGTTGTAAAAACACTAACTCCTTAGATCTTATTTGAAGAAAACAGAAGCCTGCACAATACTAAAACAAGGTTTCATAATCCATGCAAAAAGCAAGGAACATTCAACATGAACAAACATCTAACTTGGCCACCGGCTATTTCAGAATGAATAAATATGTGCTCTAAAAAGCTGTACAAAAAACATTGACCACTTGACAAAACAGAACCTCTCAGTTGTTTCAATTGAATACTGGAACCGGAATCCAAACTGGATAAATTGGTTAGGCAAGCGTAACAGTAATAGCTCGATGTAGTAAAAATTGAGAGGCTCAATGTGCCTCTTTTGATTTGAAGAAACTCTCCGAAAAATGCAGCTCTGCTGCATATATATTACTTCAATTGTTTTACAAAGCCTATTTACAACAAGCATCAAGACCCGTCTTTGTTTTTGATTCTGAACTTCGGATCTCATCCTGCACAGTTGGTGTTTTCCGCAGTGTCACTAGATCTTGGCATCCTTGCCAGGTGCCTCGACCAGTTGCCGAATTCTGTGCAGTTCTTGAGAAATTACTTCCAGATCCTGCAAATGAGAAAAGCGAAATGTTATTGCTCATAACTCGCATCGGTAGCTAAGACTATTTGGTTTCATTCCCAACAAACCAGAAACGTGTGACAAATAAAGATCAATCTTCTTTGGTTTTTGTTTTTTGTTGTTTGTTGTGTGTGTTTTTTTTTAAAGTTTACCCAATGTTGTTTTTTCAGAAATTTTTATTCTGCACTATGCTTGTGTGGTTGCTACAACCAGGTAGAACCATGCCCATAGATGACTGCACCACTCTGAAACTATGTTGCTCTATTTGCTACCACTTTTCCCCGGGCTTTGCCGGTGACGTACCCAACACTTGTACACGCTACAAGTTACTTAGGCCCCGCTCCTTCTTTGACTCCGAATACAGTGCCACAGTCAAGTAGGTCAGTTCACAAGTTGCAGTGGCTAATTCTGAATATGAAACTGCAGGCTGCTGTTAGTCTTTGCGAAGTAAGAAAATTTAAGAGGCCTGTTCCAATCTGCTGCCTGCATGACCACACTTAATCCAATAAGATTATGCATGTCTTGATCGCATCTGATAAAATCGGACACACAAAACATGTTGCAAATGAGATAGGCACGCGCTGCATCGTCCATAGTAAAGAGACAATTTGAGTGTTTCCGCAACAATGAGACAAAAATGTCTCGTTATGCAAAAACCCAGTCGGTTCTCCAAAGATTTATCTATTTGTATTAACTGGGTTCACATTATTGAGGCATCAGTGTACTTGCATTTCCCTCGAATGAATATGAGAGAAACAAGCAAAAATAAAGCCCCCCCCCCAATGGACTCGTACAAAACAAACCCTCACGGCTGGAAGAGGTTTACGAAATTAGAGAGTTGACCTTTTGCAAGTGCATGTTCTTGGTGAGGGTCTCTTCGAGCATGCGCTGCATGCGTCTGTTCATCTCCTTCAGGTTCTCGTCTCCCTTGTCCTTGATGAAGTCCACGAGGCGCTTCACCGTCAGCTTCTCCGGCGTCGAACCAGCTTGGTGGTGTGCCATGGCAGACTCTGAAAGCCAGTATGGATGCGGCCAGGTATCATGACACTAACGTCTCTGCAGAAATCGCTCACATATGTGACGAAACATTTGACAATCATTAAAAAAAGAAGGCAAGTGATGTGAGAGGGTCGCAGTCGAATTGCCTATGATACTACAAAACAACCGAATAGCCACCTAAATTCATTTTCTTATGTTCCCTTCTACGATATTTACCTACCTGCAAAACACTATATAATTTCGAGTCAGAGGCTCCATTTTGGCTTGACAACTGTGCTTTTCAATTGTGAAGCCTTTACACAACTTCACTTCAGGTGTAAGTGCCGTTCCCTCCCGATACAAAATATTAAAATATATGTATGTCCAGATTGATGTAAACATCACATCTGTCTTCTCCAAAGCCCTCTTTGTTGCACAAACTTAGTCACATGCATTTTTGCCATATCCAAAATATAAACTTCGATATCCTCTCTGGATATGCGTCCAACTGTGCTACGGGGTTCAGTCCTAAGGACCAAACTATGACAGCAGGAGCAAATGGTCACTCAAGCTTGAGAAACTCTAGATAAGAAAATTGTGATTTGATTGAATGGATGAATTGGCTCCCTAACAAAAGTGATCGCCTCACTGCCCGACAAAGACGGCTTAATAAAGCTCCCTATCGGGAGTTGCTCCTGGAACACTTCAAGAGATCATATCAACAGAAATATTGAAAAGCAGACATTACAAGAGCTTCTGAAAAGAAATAAAAAAATTAATAAACAGTCCGAGAGATTCCCAAATACTTGCAGTGAACACCACGAACTGAAGTCGGAGATGATTGTGATAATGAAACTCAGCTTTCTTGACACAAATAATCCCAGGCAAAAGAAGGAAAGGTGTTGAAAAGCAGGAGCTTTTGCAAGGAAAACTTTGGTTGGGGGATGGCTTTGAACGAAAGAGGTAAAGATATCTGATGAAAGCCCTTAAAAAAGAGTTGATGTGAGTGTAAAGATTGCAAAACCGCTTTTGATATCTCACTTCTTGTCGAGTGGTTGGTCACTGATAAATCGGACTGAGTAGGAGTATCGGTTAGTGCAGGCTCGTTGGTGTGTGTGTGAAGAGCTGGAAAATACAAATAATTTATCCAATCATAATTCATACCATGATCAAACTCTGGACAAAACGTTTCAACACATACCATGACTGGTCTCATATACATGGGTACACAACCATTGAACATTTTGCTTTAAATTTCCCTTTAAGGGGTTACGACACGAATATTAAACGGATAGATTATTCTTGAAATGGAATGCTCCTAGGCTACTTAGTTAATACTAGGGATGTCGCGAACCACCCTAGGTTCGATTTCGAAAGGTTTCGATATTTGCGAAGCGAACTGAGGTTCGATTTCGAAAAATTTCGGTATTTTCGTACCGACCAAGGTTCGATTTCGAAAAATTCGCAACTTTTGACCGCAGCGGAGTTTCGAATTCGAAAATTTCGAAGCTTTCACGGTTTCTAAAATTTCGAATTCGAATATTTCGAATATTTTTTTACTTCAGGTTCGATAAATTCGAAGATTTCGAAATTCTTTGTAAAAAAAAAATTCAAAAACTTTGAACGCTTCAAATTTTTATAGACATGAAGTTCGAACAATTCTAAGATTTCGATTTTCTTTTTGCATAAAGTTCGAAAAGTTCAAAGGTTTCGATTCTCTTTTAACGCTAAATTAAAAAAAAAAAAAAAAAAAAAACTTCGAAGATTTTGAATTTTTTTCTAATCCAAGTTTTCAAAGTTCGAAGTCCGATTTTCAAGTTTTTCCACAGTTTCAGTTTCAAATAACGTTTTCACGACTCACTTGTTGTCACAAATTCAAGTTTAGAAAAGTTAGGGTGTGATATCTAGATTCTGCGAAGTTGGTCAGGCAATTAAATGAGACAACGAGTGTCCCGGACGTGCTAGAATATTTGCCAGTGCAGAATTGTGACTGCCAGCCCCGGGGGGGGGGGGGGGGGGGGGGGGTCTTTAACCTGCATCACGCAGTAGTGATTGCACGAACACACTATTTTACGAGACTCATCCAGTTCGAAACGGCCAGGGGCGAGCAGGAGGTTGAGGCTCAGAAAAACCTTGAAGCGACCCGGCAAACTAGCTCGCCACCCCTTGCACGCTGGTAGTAATCCGATCCGGTGAAGTTTATAATTGTCCTGGAGGTTTATTTCCTGGGACGGAGGAATCGCCTCGCAAAAAGCACAAAAGCCGACACAACTCGAGGTCGAGGAGCGTTCTACCATACAAGTGGCGTCGGAAGTGGAAAAACGGGGGGAAAGAGGGTAGCGGGGGGGGGGGGGGGCTTCAGTTTTCTTTTCCCCCTTGCAGGTATTTCGAACTGTTAAAGAAAACAATACGGGGAAAGAGGGCGTGGTTGAGCTTATTTTAATCTGAAATTATTTATGCATATGTATAGCTACTGTCGCTCTTCACTGCATAAAAGGTTGCGTAGATGGTCATTGTTAGAAACTCGTTGTCAGAAGGCACTGCTCGTCACATGCTTAGTGGTTCGAAAGTTCAAAGCTGTCTTTTCGACCTAAACATCTGTGCCGATAGTAACAAAAAAAATAAATAAATAAATGCGGGAATAAAAAGCAGGAGAAAAAAAAACTATAAAGAATTCGTCGGAAGTGTTCTATTCTTGCATATTCAGAGGTTCAGAACTTCGAAACAAGTTTCTTTTACCAAAATGTGTACAGGCTAAAGAAACACGTCCCAGCAACGTGAAGCGAAAAAAAAAAAAAGTTTTCTTTTAATGACGTGCTGAACTTGAACACTATTAGAAATCTTCTCCCATGAGTTAATTTATTCCTTAAAGGGGTCATGAAACGCTTTTCCAACTTTTTCCTGTTTCGCTTTCCTCCTCAACTCATAAATCGCGCATTCCACCAAACAGTTCAAGAAGACGAAAAGAAGGGAGGCCCCTCTCGCTCGGAACCTGGTTTGTGTAATCCCCGGACACATCCATTCTCCCCCTAGAAGATTAGCCCGTCGCTCAAAACTCAGACAAAAGTTTCTTTCCCTAGCCCGTTCACCCCTAAGCTGACAGTGCTGTGGAATCTACGTGCTCCTTGGGCTAGCCACACTTTTGCCACGTAAGCGTGGCAAATGTGGCTGCAGAGAATGAGGTCAGGTGATGAAACGGAGGTGGCTGAGTGGTCCGGCAAGCGCGTAGCTTCCACCACAATGTCAGCTTAGGGGTGAAGGAACTAAATGAGGTCCGGTTTTGTGTGACGTCAGTTTGGACCCGATGACACGCTTTTGGGACCGCGGATGTATCCCAGTGAAAAGGCAGAGCGGTTACGAAGGGGAGGAGGAACGAAATAGTCCGCTGTGTTTTCAAATTTTCGCACTGAATGTCAGGCTTTTGAGTTTCTACCTTTTTGCTTTTGGCCCACTGAACGATGTTCTATTAGTAAAATCCCAATCTAAAATGATTTATCCCAACCCAAAAATCGTTTCATGGGCCCTTTAACGTGAAAAAACAATAAATATATTATTTTGTATTCTGCAGATGGCAATGATATGTACTGTCTGTGGTGTTAATTTAAATGCGATACCTCAAACAACTTAGACGAAAATAAATATCAAGTTTAGGTCATAATTGCATGCAGATACATGTTTGGACATTTCTTCGAAACTCACGTTGAATAACAATAATCACATCTTAAAGGGATACTACAACGAAATTTCGGCGCTCATTTTTTGGTCTATATGTGTTCAAAAGAGCAGTATCACATGGAACATACCAATATCTTGTTAAAAAAGTCTTGAAAAGGAATTTTAAAACGAATTAAACGATTAGCAAAGAGCACCTGGTAGATGTCGCTAACGCCTCGTTTGTGATGCTCGTCTAGTAACCTTGACAGCTAGGGACGGAGGTTGTCTCGTCTCCGGCCACAACGAGAGAAGGAGGGAAGGAGGAACTCCCCTCTTCCCGAGAATCCCTTTTGTGTGTCGCAGAAGTCGCTATTGTCCCCCTAGAAGATTATAGAAGATTAACCCGTCACTCAAAATTCGTACAAAAGCAGCCGCTTCGGTGGCTGGAACGACTAGGCCATCCTCTCGACATCAGCCTCGCCGTAGCTTTGCTCGTCTTGAGATCAGCCTCGCCGTAGCTTTGCTCGTCTTGAGACGACCTACGTCACGATTGCGTTGGATGTCACGTGCTCTAAGCTGGGCCTTCTCCGAGCGCTTGCCAGAGTGGGCCGTTTATAACGAAAAATACAGCCACCAGGATCAAAAAAACAAACGTGCGATTGTCATTTACGGATATTGTGGATCATATTCAACCTATTTTTGAACACGACGGGAATATTTCAAATGTCGTTGAAGTATCCCTTTAAGACGGCACTTACCTGGGCTATACATAGATCATTCTTAAAAAAGTATAACATATCTATCATAAATAGCTCCGGCTGCAGCGTGCTTCAAATCTGGCACAAACGATAATCGTCAAAAACCCGTCGCCCTTCCTCGCCCCTTCGGGGATTTATTTCTTTACACCTAAGCATGCCAGAACATTGAAATAAACGACATTGTCTTTCGTAAGGAACGCAGCACCGCGTGTAAAAGTTCGAGAAAAAAAATTACGAATGTACCCCACTACTTGAAATCAAATGAAACCGTCCGCCGGTCTTTCGAAGTTCGACGAATGTCGAACTTTTACCCTAAAAGTTCGAAGTTCGTCGTGCTTCCGACTTTTCAGAATTCGAAAGTTCGAAACTTTTCGAATTCTCTTGATAAATAAGTTCGAAAGTTTGAAATTCATCGAATTTTTTGGTCAGTCAAGTTCGAAAGTTCGACAAGCATCGAACCTTGCAGCGCAATAATTTCGAAAGTTCGAAAAAGATCTAATTTTTTAGCGTAATATGTTTGACGGTTCGAAAAGCGTCAAACTTCTTAGCTTAAAGGGCCCCTGAAAAGAAAAAAAAAGTTTTTTTTAAACAGTCTGGTTGGGACACGCGTGTCAAAAAATAAATTTTACGCGGAAAAAAAATTTTTTTACAGCAATATTGACGGCGAGAGATTTATTTGAAAATTTGCGCGCAAATTCCAGGTCATTCAGCTCGGCTTCTCATTGGTAACCATGGTCATTCAAATCGGCTTCTCATTGGCCTATAGAATGAGTGACAGCTTAGATGTTGGTTATAAAATCTTCGTGATCTCTTGAAATCGCCTTTTGAATTACATATTTTTTAGGTTTAAGAAACAATCCATCGAATGAATGTCGCAATTGTTTACAAACGTTTTACAAAATTGTAACTTCCGTTCGGATACTACAACAAAACAACAAACAAAAGCTTCGCCATTTTGTTTTCTGTCATGGTCGCTGTCTTCGCGTCTCGCGTTCTGAAGAGGGCTTGTTGCTTGTGTTAGTCATTCATCGTAAGTACTCAGGAAGTGGCAGAGGGTGACAGGTTTCTGTTTTTCTGCTCTTCTTTGCGCGATTCGTGTGTCCCGTTTACCCCATCTTTTGTTTGTTTCCTGGCGCGCGCCAGTGCCAAATTTTGTTTAGATGTCGGTTCCCGTAAAGAGTTTAGTGAGGCACGCGGCAACGCACTCAATGTTTAATAAAAAAATCAGTTACCACTGCGTGTCCTCGCGGCGGCTTGAGGGATCGTGCGGCTCGGACGAACTTGTCGAGGCACCCGCTTCGCCGCGGCAAAGCGGATGCCTCGCGAGCGGTTGTCTCGCGGCGATCAGAGCAGACGCCTTCCGGCTGGCAAGGCGTGTCCTCGTACGGGTGAAGGCCCAGCTGCTGGCAGCGTTGAAGCAACCGACGCTTCAGGTCGCGGTCCACCGCGACGACTATGTACTGTGTGTACGACCACGGCACTAGGGTGACCACGGTACGTGCACGATACGACGCGGTACGTCGTGCGACTGGCAGACACAGCCGGCCAGGGGCTGTGTTCCAAATCTCCAAATGGATCGGAGTTCCTCTGGCCGATCGTATCACGTGACAGCACAGATTGAAAAACGCTGCACGCGGGTAGGTTTTAGAACGCCAAGGGTAGAAAACCCTTACCCAGGGGTAAAATCGAGTAAATTTTGAAACACGGCCAGGA